TATTCTATATAATTACAGACATTTAAAAGTTGCCATTTATACAGACCAGTTTAGAGAACGATCCCTAAAACAACTTCTGCATCTATTACTTAGCCCATTTTTACATAATCGAATGAGTGTCTTAACAGTTCAGCACTGTACCATTCATCAGAAGAAAATGCAAATGTTGAACAGGTCTGTGTTTGTAGTGTATTTCCTTAGTTTTGAACAGTTTGATGTTTATTACTTTGTAAATTATGAGCTCCTAACACTTCTTGGATTCTAGCCAGAGCCTCTGGCAACCTGAGGCTGCAGCGGCGCCTGTGAGCTGCCCCGCCAGCCGCCACCCTTCCCTTTGCCTTTCGTAATAAAACACCGAGCAGTGTCCAGCGAGAAAACTCCATTTTCCAGCTTCCCTTACATATGGGAGCCGATGCGAAATTAGCCCTTAGTCTTTGTGTGGTACCGTGTGTGGTCTCTCACTGTCCCATCTTTTCATGCCTGGAACTCGGGCGCGGCGGCGGGAACCCCGGCCCTCGGACTGCAGGGAGTTACGCACTCAGGATGGTGGACGGAAAGCCACCGGGAGGCCGTGTCTTCCCCAGCTTCATGTGGTGGGCACACCTGGCCCGGACTGCTCACCTCCACGCTGGTCGTAGAGGAGTGAGAACAGCTACCTTGTGTAAATCACTATGGTTTCTGTCCCTGTTCCAACCATCCCTAATGCCGTGTTCAGAGACTGATTTGATTTAGCTGGGGTGGAAGTGCAGAGATCTAAAATTCTTAGCCCTCCCCTTTATTCAGTCTGGCTTCCTGGCCAATTTATCTATCAGGGTTTCAACTATTATGTCTGAACTCAAGATTCCAGTTTGATTTTTTTCCCTCCATATGGAACCTCCAAATCTCTAAGTAACTTCAAATATGTCCATTTGGATGTCCCACAATGACTTTAAAATTTGAATTTATTTCTTCTATTGTTTTGACCCTCCACAATTTCCTTATCTTTAAATAGATTTCCTGAATCAATCAGATTTAAAGCTGTAGGGTTACACATGTACACACACACACACACACACACACACACACACACACACACCCCTACTGAACAGGATCTTCCTGAGCCAGCCTTGGAAACTGAACTTCTAATGAGACACCTGGAAGCTTGCTTGAGCATCTACTATTATTTTAATTCATTTGCCTCCTGCCCCTGTGTTCACTATATGTTGGTGTTCCATGATGTGGCTTTCGTGGCCTCACTTCCTACTCTCTCCCCCTCACAGTTCCTTTCACATTCCTGACTCTGTGGCCCGGAGGCCTTTGCTGAGTGGCTCCTCAGCACGCTCCCCCCAGGTCCCCTCCAGGTTAACTACTTCCCCTCCTCCAGCATTTCAGGGAGAGCCAGCCTGACCACCCTGCACAAAGCTGCAACCCATCCATGAAGCGGAAGCATCTTCTCTGCTCTTTGTGTTTCCCAAGGCCCTTCCAACATAGGTTCTGTAATGTGCTAGTGTGTTGTGTTTCCTTTGTCTCCCTCCTCACGAGGATGTAAGCACCTCCAGGGCCAGACTTTCTGCATTGTGCTCGCTGGAACTGTACTGGTAAGAGTTCAGTAGATAACTGATGAATGAGGTAAAGATTTTCTCAGAAATATCTCTGATGTCCTTCTTTCCCACTCTCATTGTTCCACTCCAATACTAATCCTGGACTTTATCATTTTTAGACTTTTTAAAACATTAGAATCTATTTATACTGTCATTCTCTCCAAACTATGTAACATACTTCCTGACTTAATCTTTCTAAAACCGCTTCTTTGCGAGGGTCACTTCCCTGTAATGATTTGGCTCCTAACTGGCCCAAATAGAGATATTATAGACTGGCATCATGCTTGAATGAGAAATTGGATCCGACAAGCTCTAAGATCCTCTTCAAATAGTCGATGTTGTACCTAAATGACTCATTTTGGCATCCAAACTGCTCTGTAATCCAGCAGTACCTCACCTGTCCAAATGTACATCCTGCTCCTTCCAAGTTTCCCCCTGCTCTTGGCCAGCTTCCCTAAGAACTCTTTAAAAAAGCCATTCTCCCCTTCACTAGTTTTTCCAATGGGTTGCTCTATCTTAAACACCCTCCTGACTACTAGAAAAGATGGCAATGTCCTTTAGAACCCTGCTATTCAAACTGTGACTTGTAGGCCAGCATTAGCATCACCCGCGAGCCTGTCAGAAACATAGCAACTCCAGCCTCACGGCAGAACCACTGTTCTAACCAGATCTGCGGCGATTCATGAGCACCTTAAAGTTTGAGAAGCACTCATCTCAAGCCACTCTTCAGTGAAGTGTGCTCTCAGAAGGCCTCATGCTCTTATGCCCTGACCTTCCGCAGGTCCTAAGTCACCCACAGCAAGCACAATATTCAATGAGTAACATCCCCTCATGGACTATTTATTCCTTATTTCAGGTAAGTCTTTTCTCCCCAAGTTGGTTGTAAATAAGTTGCACTGGACAGTCATGCATCTGGCCAATCTGGATGCAGAGAACAGAAATCCATTCGAGTTACTTCAAGCAAAAGGGAGCCAGTCCTAGTGCTATTTGGGAACTGAGACTAGAAAACTCAAGGAGGGAGGGAGGAAAGGAGGGAGGGAGGGAAGGAAGGAGGTGCTCCAGAGTCTGGCCACCCTCTTGACATCAGCATCTCTCTGCCCCATTCTCTCCACCCAGGGCTTTCTCTCTCCTATCTTTCTGCTTACTCATAGTTTCTGCTTCTTCATCTGCAGCATTTGCATACCTATTACAGCCAGCCACTCTCTTCTGTCCCAGCCTGTACACCTCTGTTCTTTTCTGCTTCAATTTTCACTCTAAGTCTCCAGGGTTAACTCATCTCATAAGAGAGCTAATCACCACAGAGAATCTTTTTGAGACAAACCACAAGTTTACAAGTGTCTGAACCACCTATGGATCGTCTACCTTGGGTCGGAAGCCTACCCTGCTCCAATCAGCTGAGGCCATGGGGTTTTGGCAGAGAACAAGGCCCTTTCGGCAGTGGGAGCCATCAGGAGACTATTCCTCAGGAAACAAAAGTGTGGGCAGAGCAGGCAGTGAGCCACATTGCCAGCCCACAGAGTCATTATTTATGTTGTCCTCACCACAGACTGGAGCAAAAGGCTGAGCACATAATAAACAGAAACCAACCAATATGGCAGGGAAGGACCATTGGCCAAGTGCCACTATGCCCCAGACACTGTGCTGGATGCGGAGAGAGCACAAAGATTAAGTAAGAAGTGCTTCTTGCTTTCCCAGAGCTCTTCATCCAAATATGTCACTGCAGTAGCTACTTGACCTTGGGCAGGTACCTAAACCACTTGGGCCACAGTTTCCTCAACTGTCAGATAAGATCATCTTCACCAACCTCCAGGAGTGTCGAAAGGTCCTATAAGGTAATCTTTATGAAAGTGCTTTGCAGAATACATACGTGAATTACAAACAATACTGTAGCCTTTCACCAGTAATAAAATCCACAGGTTCGGCATTATTTTCTGGTCTTTTCTCTCAGCCTTATTTCCCACAACGTATGAGTCATCGATTGTTACTATTCATAAGAACAATCCCAACTGTTACCACTATATTTTCATTACCTGAATGGCTTCCTCAAATGGTGATTGGAAAAATTGACTCATTTCACTCAGAAGTATATGAAAAAAGAATGAATAATGTTTTACAACATTATCATCCATTCCACTGAGCATCTAAAACGAAAATGTCCTATACATGTTTCACTACATTACAAAGAATAAGTACTAAATTCCTATGTAGGGCACAGGTCAATTTTAACTCTTGTGTGGCCTTCTCCCCAGAGCAGTTTCAAATAGTATTTCCAAAGCAATGTAGCTATTAGAGCACAGAGCCCCCCCCCTTTATTAACATGGGGACTCTGAGGAGAAAAAAATAGTACAATGGCCAGTCCCAAACCCCTGAATCCTATTCTCCTAACTTTATTTATTTATTTATTTCCCTAAAACCACTTTACCCCCTGCCCCACATTAAAGGGTGGAGTGTGGGCGAGGGTGGGAATCGGTGATGATGGCAATATAGACCATTCCCAAAAACATATTATTGCGCCCTTTGCAAGATCCAAGTATGGGTTTATGGGAGAGAAAAACAAAAGGAGACAAAACTCGAGGTAAGTATAATCTTGGCTTTGCCATGAGGGAAACCAAGGAATATTTACGGAGTAACTGCCACATGCTGGGCAGGATGCCGAGGGCTCCTCAGACAAGATGGAGTGTCTTGGGCCCTCCAAAACTCTCACTTGCCCTTGGGCATCTGTTGCTCCTTGGCTGACAAGTGTATTCATTCAACAGCTGGCCCTGGGTGGAGCAAAGAAAAGAGCTTCCACCTTGCTAAAAAGTCGGCTCAGCTAGCCACAGTGCGGGTTTCGGCAAAAAGAAAAAACAAAAACAAAACCTCTTTAGGGAGCTGGGTGAGACTCCGCTGCAGGAGGCAGAACTGCAGAGACCGGAACGTACAGTACTCACTGAGCACCCAACGCCGATGAAGGCTCCTCGTGCTCTGGGAGGCAAGGGGCTGTAGATCAAAGAGATCCTGCAGCCTGGGAAAACAAACCTGCTTCTCGGGGAGTCGTGATGTGTGGGGTGCAAAAGGTGGGCGGCGGGATGGGAATCTGTGCACTAGGGTGGGGACGCCGAATGGGGACGCGGAGGTTCGTGCGCTAGTGGGAGGGAGGTGGGTTGGGCAAAAACCCCGGTTGACAGCGACACCACGATCGTGCTGCGATGTGAAGCAACCTTTGGGTCTCGAGCTGGGAAAGGGTCTGAGAGTGCACTGGAGGTGCCGCAGGAAGAAAGGTCCGCTAGGGGCGACAGCCTGGGGCAAGAGATGGGACAGACGTCTCTTCCCCCGCAGGAGAGCGCGCGCGCACACAAGCACACACACAAGACCCCGGGCTGCCCCGGAGCAGCTCCCCCCGCGCTCTGTACACAATTCCCCCCTGCGGCGGCCACTCACCCTCCGCGCGGGAGCGGATCTCCGACACGGTCCTGCGCATGGTGGACATCGCGGCGAAGGCTGCAGGTGGATCTTCAGTCCAGACTCTGCACCTGTCACTACTCCGCGCAGGGGGGAGACCTGGCTGCGCCGCACCGAGCGCTCAGCTGCCGCGCGGACCCGGCCGCCCTCCCAGGACAGCGAGGCCGCGGGGCGCAGTCCCCGCAAGCGGGCGACAGGAGGAAGAGGCGACGAGGGTGGCGGCGTCCGCAGAGCTGGGCGAGCTCTCCCTGCAGACTCGGAGCGGGCGGCTCGGCGAGGGGCGGAGCTGGGGCTCCGGCGCCAGGGAGGGGTCGCGGGGCGAGCAGTCATTCGCTCCGGCGGCAGCGAGGAGAGCAGCGCTGGAAAGGCGCAGGGAGGCACCCGGAGCACCTCCTTCGCCCCGCCCCTATTCGGATCATACCATCCCTGCGGGGGGACGGTTTTCAGTTTTCAGCCTCCTCGCACGGCTGTCGCTCTGCTTTTGGTTTCAGCCCATCCTGTCTTTCCTAAACGGCTTTCTTACTCTCTCAAGCCTTGACCAGAGGAGAATGGGTGCCCTGGTTCCAGCATCCTTTAATAGCCCCTCCCCTACCCTCTGGCTTTTAAAAACAATAAAATCGGCTGTGCTCTGCAGAGTGGGCTTGGGTCCGAGTGGGCAGGCGAGGGTCGAAAAAGGCTGGAATGCCAAGCTTAGGTTCTTGCCCCTATAGTGGAAAGACATCGCGGGTTCCCCAGGGTTCAATTCTGGCTTCCCGGCACCGCCAGCAGCCCTGTCGGCCACAGTCCTACTTGCTCTCTGGCCTGGCCCACAAGCAACAGGCTCTGAGGCCAAGTGCCTGGCCGCCGGGTCTCCTGCCTTTGGTCCTTGTGTGCGTCTGGGGCTGGCCTGCGAGTGGGTCTGGCACGTCTGCCTAGTGCGTGCTCTGCAGCCTGACAAAGTTCTGGAACTGCAATAAAATCAACCACTGGGCCAGGTGGTGCAAAGAAGAGTTTTTTGTTTGGGGTTTTTGCGCATAGTGGAACCTGCAGGAAGTTGGGTGCAGTAGTTTTAACTGAAAAGAGGAGAGAATCTCCTTGAATAGAATCTACAAATACATTCAATTTTAATTTGCCCTATACCCCAAAGATCATCATTACCTCGTTACCTTTTATTTTGTAAACTAGTTGTAAAAAGCACGGTATTTTTATTTTATTATTGATTTCATCTTTTAAGTTAGAATGTATGTTACTAAATAGATTCTGGTGAACTGTTTAAATGATGAGAAAGGAATAAATTAAATTAGAGTCAATCTCCCTCATCTCGGGCTCTTTCCCCAGTGCCGGATGGAAGAGGGCTTTATGTGGAGTGAGGTCTTGTACGGGAGACTGCTTTCATATCCTGAAGAGAGAGATCTGGAGACATTTCACTTCAGAGCTAAGTAATTATTCCCAAGCCTCAAGAAAAAAAAATAAAGTAAAATCTCCTAATAGCATCTTATCTCCATCTGTGGTATTTCCTCTGCCTCCTGCAGGTAGCATTTGCTAATCAGAGCCCTGCCCTACGTTAATACTGAGTCAGGCAGCCAGTGCGTGTTTATGAAAAACCCACTGTACTGGACTCTATTCAGAGTCTGGGATCAGAACTACGCCCCCCTCCCCAATGCACTTCCAGTCGAGGAAACATCACAGGGCAGAGCAGGACTCAAGCTAAATGTGCTTGTTCCAGCAACTGAGGATCATGATTTGCAAGTATGTCCTTCTGAAAGTAAGAAATGAGTCCATAGCTTTGTAAGGACCATCGTCACTGGCCATTTTCATTCCTGTCCCCTGTCCGGGACCTCCCTGTGTAAATAAAGCAGGTTTCCTTTGGCTCGATGAACATGAATTTGAAACAAAATTAAAAGGAATACAAGAAATAGTAAAAAAATCAGCTTTAAAATTCAGTGACTAGAAACCAGAGAGAGAGAACACAGGACTTATCGGGATGAATATCTCAGGTGTAATTTACAGAAGGCTGGAGCCAGTCTGTGTTCAAAGTCGGTGCCCAGCAGCGTGGCACTGCTTCATTTATGAGTGATGGCCTGTGTATCACTCAGTTCCTCACGAGCCCTCGAATGAAGTGCGGTATTGCTTCTGTACAAACAATAATCCTTTGAAGGGAGTTCCAGAGATTATCCCTGTTCTCTGTAGAGCACGTCACTGTAAACGTGCCTCTGTGTGTGTGTGTCCCATTCATAGTCCATCGGCAGAGGTGACAACACGTGTCACTCCTGCAGGAAATGACAGCAGTCCTTCATACAGAGCATGCTTCATGATACAGTCTATAGTTTACTGTGTCTCTTTCCCCAGATTATTCTATCACGGTATCCATATTGCTAAGAGAATCCCAACCAACTCACTTCTGGAAACCACTCATTTCTGATTGCTAGGAATCACACACATTTTTACTGGTTCAGAAACCTGACTGAAGTTGAGTATAGCGCTGATCTGCATCTATCTGATTTCCAAGGCCTCTCAGATCTCGTCTTCCATTGTTCTAAGAAGCACAGTGTACCAGCCCCTGGCAGGGAACTGGGTTTCTAGCAACATGAGCTTGTCACAGAATCTGTAGTACAATTCAGGTGTCAGCAAGATCACTTAAAAACTTTCAGGTCCGATGACTCCATGCTGATGGACTTAGAAAGAAGAGGATTATTCAAGGGCAGCTACTCCAAGGACCAGGTTTTATCGTCCAATACAATTTACACTGGATGCATAAGGTGTGCGAGGTGCTGAGCCAGAGTGCTAGGTTATACAAAGACACTGGGAGCACATGTGGAAGTCAACCAGCAATGTAACCGGAGGGCTGATGCTTAACGCCAAATGGATGAGAAGCAACAACTACCAACATTGAGAGAAGGGGAGAGGTCAAGAGCGAAGGTGATCAACACAGTCGATACAGGTCTTGAACTAGGGGTTAGGCTGTAGAAATGAGCCAACGGTCCAGATGGGGAATGCTTGGCATATATTAAGGACTCAATAACTGTTTAACAAATATTTAATGTAAATGCAATGCTGAAAAGGCACATATGTTGGAGGGGGCAAGGAGACCAATTTGACTGCAACATAGGTTTTCATTGCCAATTTGTACACTTTTCATGGGTGAATTGTATGTCCTACAAATTGCATGTTAAAGCTGTTAAAAAATTATCTCCAGAGGTGTCAGGCACAAAATTATGAAGTCTACAAAGTAAAAAAATGTTAGGGATGTTCCTATCTTTCTGGGTTTTCACTTAGTAATGGCCTGAGTTGGTTGTTGTTTTGGGCCACCAAAAATTAAGAATTGGTCCCCTTTGGTCAGAATTCATAGCCAAGTGGGTGAGAGAAGCAAACTCACGAATTTACTGACTTATATAGTACAGACAGAAGTCCTTTGGGAACTAGTGGCTGAAGGTATGGAGGCCTGAGAACCTGCTTCTGGCTGAGACTGAGGCATGGAAAGCTGGTTCCCACACTAACTATAATATACAGATGCTGAACAGTGCTGGCCACTGTAGTTTACCTTCTTTTGCAGAAGCACAAAATAATTAGATGTGTTAATAAAATTTTAGATAATTACATTTTTAGTTTAAAATGGAGATGAGGGTACAGCATAAAATTCTGTCAAATCACAATGCTACCTGGTAAGAAAAGAAACGTATTACCTTTGGCGCATAGTCAACGTTATATTGAGTTGATGGATTAGTGGGTGGAAGATTTATCATTAGACTTGTGAGGCTCTTCCCCCGAGATTTCCCACCTGAACTGCCCCCTTTCTGTCACCACACCTTACAAGTGTTCTCTTCTTAAGTCACCAGCAAGTTCTTTTGACTCTGTTTCCAAAATATGTGTTAAGTCTCTACATCACCTCTACCCCTCTTTTGTTTTTAAAATTTTACTTATTTATTTTTTAGAAAGAGGGGAGGGGGAGAAAGAGAGGCAGAGAAACATCAATTGGTTGCCTCTCATAGGCACCTTGACGAGGGACCGAACCTGCAACCCAGGCATGTGCTCTGACCAGGAATTGAACTGGTGACCTTTCGGCTTTGCTTTGTGGGATGATGCCCAGCCAACTGAACAACACGCATCAGGGCCACCTCTACCCATTTTGTACAAGTCACTGTCACTGCTCCCCTGTAGTAGCCTCCTAACTAATCTCCATGCTTCTATTTTTGTCAGCCATTCATCTTACAGGAGCCATAGTCATTATTTTAAAACAAAAATCAGTTTATGTTATTTCTTAAGACTCTTCAGTGGCTTTCCATAGCACCTGGAATGAAACCCAAGCCCTTTATGGTCTTGTCCTGGACTGCCTCTCAGAGTCATTTCCTGCCGCTGCCTCACTGGGTCATTGGCTTAGATCATTCCAGGCCGCCCACCCCAGCTAAAGTTGCCCCACGTCCCCCGGTGCCAGCCAACACCTGATTGCCTTGTTCTGTTTTTCTCATAGTACTTATCGCTATCTGAATTTTCTTATTTGTTTGTTTACCTGTTTGTGATAAACACGCCTTGCTCTGTTTGTCTTACTACAATTTGTCTACTTTCAGAACAGTGTGTGTTATATAGTATGGGGTCAATAAATATTTGTTGAATGAATGAGCTGAAAAATGTGTGTTATAAACGATCTTGTTCCCTGAGGTTGAGGACTGGAAATAAGTAGAAAAATCGGCAGCATTCTATTGGAAGAAATGATAAGTTTGTGCCCTTCATAAGCATGTATACAGGAATATATTACTTTGCCAGAATTCTTTACATAAAATAATTTACAGTCTATATGCTATAAAGTACTTGAGGTGAGAAAAATATTTTGTGAGTACCACATTGTCTTTGGCCAAAGTGAAGTGGTCAGATTTTAAAAGCAAACTTATTTCAACCCAAACTTCTAAACCCATTATTGTGTAAATAATCCAGGTACATATTTTTACTTATAGTGATAAAATCAGCATGATAAAAATCAACATTATGTTTCTCATGCCTGTGATTTATTTCCCATGACTGTTTTATTGATCTTTTTAAGTAACTTAACAAGGTTTTAATTCAAAGTTATAATGTCTTTAATGTTTATTATCATCATACGCTAGAAATCTCAAAAAACAGAAAAGTGCAATGAATTTTTTTCACTATAATTGAAAATTGTTTGGTACTGTTTAAATGAAACTACACTTTGGAAACATGGATTTCTATTATTTTTAAGGACTCTTGTAAATGTTTAAATACCCTCCAGCATATTTTAAATAACATATTTCAATTCCTACACAATCTTTCAGGAAAACATTTACTGAATGTTTTACTCAAAAAGTAAAATGAACATTCAAGGAGAAATAATCCCTGTGATTAGACACGGAAT